TTGTTTTTCACATTTCACGATTGGGCTGTGCGTGGGGGTTTACAAAAGTCATGTCCCCCGACCCGGGCTGTAAATAGTTTTTGAATATTATTTGACTGGGCTGGACAGTAAATACTCCCCAAAATTGCCCATTTGACGGTGGTTTGACCAAAGTTCTGTTTTGTCGAGAGTGAATCCAAATTTTTCCGGAAATATTAGATAGGGCTGAAGACCTACCATTAGTGCAGCAGAGTGTTGGCGCGACGCAGAACCCGTTGTGCTTTAGAATCTGGAAAAATTGATGATGCTATGGATATAAAACGAGTTAATAAAATTGTAACCGTTATTTTTAGTATAGTTTAGGTACTGTTAAGTCTAAAAATTAATGTTAAAATCCCTAAAAGTTACCGAATTCGTAGATAGACATTATCTAGACGGCTAGTAAATCTGGAAGTACCTGGCCTTTTTCTTCAAAAAGTCTCTTTCTTGAAATCCAAATTTTAGCCTTCCTAAATGAGAAAAAATTATTTTAAATTACATTTGAGTTCTTCGAATTCTAAGGGATTTCGTGCTAATGGTTTTTGCCCCCATAATACCAGATAAGAGCGCTAATTTTCACATTTGTTAAAATTATTCAAAGTTTCCGAACCGGGTACAGTATCTCTCAAAAACGCCGTACCTTGCAGAACCCAGATGGGCAAATGTCGCGCGACGTGCATTCTGGCGTCTCGAAGCATTTGTTATGCACGCAGCACTGGCCTTCGGACGTGCAGATGCCCGCGTGGTGGTCGCCTGGAAGCAGGTTTCGCATTTTAATGTACAATCTGAACGCTGTTGATCCCACTTCCAGAGAGGTGGACGGTTACAACTATGCACACCTGCGTATTTCAGTCTTTTAGCGTAAACAGGTGTATTTGTAGTCATGGCTGAACGTGAGCTTTAAGAGTTCTCAAGGTGCCGACGGAGACTAAGTGGCGAAATTCACTGTAGCTTACCACATGAAGCGCACTGCACCGTGCGTCCATACCGCCGGTAGGGGCACGAATTGAGGAAACAGCCGTGGACTGTGGAGACGAGCAGACACAACAGCAACAAGTACACGTTTAACTGAAAGGAAGAGGTAAAATTGGTGATAGTGCTGATGAATTCTGTTTACGAAATTTGAGATCATTTGACTCCACTGTTTGCTGGTCAATCGCAGACAAGAAATTTCGTTAATTTCGTCAGCTTTTCGTGCTTCGGCCGTTGTTACAGATTACATACGCTAATTTGTTATAATTGGGAGCATCTTCAATTTGGTAGGTACCTGACAGTACAAGGGACGGGTTATGAACGAACTTAGAGTTCAGAATCATAGCTCTTATTAACTGTCGAGCTGGTATGCTCCTTTTAATTGTTTTTAAACCTAGGGCTATATACGTCACTTGCAACCTCCTTTAAAACGAATACAGGAAACGTAAAATACCGGAAATAAGAGAGATTCTTGACTTCTAGGTCGGTAAAAGACAAGTCAAGGAAAAAGTCATTAAATATACCGGTTAGATTTCCGAGGCTTTTAAACCATTTTCCAGAACGTTAAGAAATATGAAAACCTGAAACCTGAACCTGAAAACATCATTTACCTGCCGGGTAGAGGCCATAAATCCTGTGAACGGTAGGCGACGTGTCGGGCCTTCCGTGGGGTAGAGCAGCCGAACAAAAGTCTTCTGGAAGATACCGGAGAGACGCTTGGGGGCTGAAAGTGATGATGGAATGGGGCGGGGAACTGAAGCTTTATATGATCCCCCCTCCGGATTGGCCCTCCCCTCTAGAAGACGTCAACCCGAAGGAGGGGGAAAGTCACAAAAATATTGGGATATCGGGGAGAAAGAGATGAGAAAGTCGGAGACGGCGAAAAATCCAAAGCCGGCTTAGCCCCCGAAGAAAGAGGGGTACTGGATCTTATTGGAATTGGCTACCCGGGACGGGGGGTCTGTAGTTTTAAAAGCACCGTAATACGGGGAGGGAGCCTTCTCGGAATTTGGAGCGTTCCGGAACTGGGTTCGGGTTAGGAAAGTTCTAGCGAGTCAAAAGTGATGTGATAGGTTTCGTGCAGACGACGTATATTCTTAGAAAAACGTAAAATGTGGTAATACTTTTTTGAATAAGCGGTCTTTTTTGAATAGACTCTATTTAATTAAAGGGACGTCACACCAGAAGCTTTTATGAAATTTGCTTCCTGCCATGGCCCCTTTAATTTTGCCCCAAGGTTTTGGCCCTGGGCAAGCTAATGGGGAATTAGGAGGTTTTCGCGCTTCCGGTCCGGGCAAACCAGCAGTGATTTTTACAAGGGATTCAAATTTCCGATCTTGCGAAGCTAGCGGAGACCTTGTAGGAAATCTCTGGACCGTTGGTCCTGAGATCAAGTAACCCTAACGCAACTAAAACCTAGCGAAAACTGGCAGAGATTCATTCGGAAAAATGTCGGAAGGCGTGCGCACCAGCTGGCAAAGTTCATTAGGGAAAACCGATTATTGACAAACGAGCAGAGAAACTTTGTAAAATTATTTTCCTGCATTTTCGACGCCCTAGCAAACACCTCAAAATTCCAACTTGCTCCAGTCTTGAGAGCTAGCAAAAACCGTTTGGGAATCACAGGTAGGCAAGCTAGCAAAGGTCTTCGGCGGGGGTGAATCTCAGAGAGTTTATGGCAGACTCTTCCGGAAGTTTTCAAATGCAAGGACTCAACCCGTGTTTTCTACAAATTCCCTGCTGCTTCGCTTCCGAAATGCCGCGGACTTCAGGAGTTGCGAGGGGTAGTAAATGATGGCAGATCACCCGGGGGCGGGATAAGCCCAGGACCCGCTTTGGATAACCTATCCCCAGGATCAGGGCTAAAAATGGACCTCCCAAATGGTGGGAGGTTGAGACAGGATTGACGGTAATCTAGGCGGGTTTTAGCGCCCACGTGGGGTGTAAACACACGTCGTCGGTTGCCTGAGCTCATCGCCAATTTCGTTGGGAAGTTGGTGCAAAGAGGAAGTGGGTTTTTGACCAAAGCAGGATAAGCTGTATGGGATTGCATTATTGTTATGGAGGCTAGACAAGAGTACTTGTCGAATTTGATCAGGAATCTGTTGCCGTACTTCCTCACAGAGAGAGAGGGAGAGAGAAAGAGGAGAGAGAGGGAGAGAGAAGGGAGAGGAGACAGGACGAGAGACAACGGGGGAGAGAAAGGAAATAGAGAGAGCGAGAGAGAGAGAGAGAGAGAGAAAGAGAGAAGTTTCCGTTTCTCTGAATACAAAAAGATCTGTTTCCGAAGCCATACGAGGTAGACAATTTGCTCTCGGCCAGACTAGCGATCAAATCACAAGGATTATAGCGGAGATTTAACGATGGCAAGTTCCTGAATTGCACGTATCCCGTATTTTTAAACCTCTGTATTTTTGCTTACTAATTCAATACAAGCGTTTCCCTTAAAAATTCTAGATTGTCAAAAACACAGAGCAATTTTTGGGTTCCAACTGCCTATAGTCTTACTTGATACTTTAAGTAAACGTCTCTGAAGAATTAACTTTCCTGGAAAACCGCTGGAGATTTTGCGATTTGTTAAAACTCGTCTAGGCTACCGTAGCCTCAGTACGCGCTGACAAAAGGCCTAAAATGCACGTGGTTCTGGCAGATGAGAATCTTTTTTTGCCGTTGGATTTGCACTAATATGCCGTATCCTTTGACGTTAATGCGGTAAACGCTGACATTCCCGTTAAAATCATTAGTATAGAAAACTTACCTATGAGTACCACCCGCAAAAAATTTAAAAATGGAAATAGCTTACAAATCGCTAGAAGCGCCTGATTATTTCCTTGCACTAATAATCCTGATTCTTGGCGTGAATCGGGATAATTTTCAAGCAAAAAAACGCAATTTGCGTTGGGTACTGTACTGTACTCATAAAGGAGGGATTTATGCTAAATCGCGGATGCGACGCAGACAATCCTAGAGCCTGCGTTTAATTCTGGATTTGTCGATGTCCTTTCAATCCTGAATATGGGAAATAATTTTGTTGGTTTGAAATCTGTCTATATCTATCTCTTGCGCCGTCTCTCTCTCGCTCTCTTTCTCTCTCTCGCTCTCATTGTTCGGTTTTTCCAGGGACTGTGTACTTTTTGCCTGCCCTCCACTGGGTATCGACAAACGACAACGCTTGACTACTATTCACGAAATAGAGAGAGAGCAAGAGCGAGAGACAAAGAGTGAGAGAGGTTGAAACAGAGAGAGAGGGGGAAAGAGAAAGCGAGATAGAAATTTTAGACGTGAAGAAATCTTTTGAATTCTAACTGCTTCTGAGCTTCAAGAATTACAAAAGTAATGTTCAATGGCCTTATCAAGTGGTTTGAACCTGGCTTTCCAGCAAAAAGTGATCCTGAGAATGGCGCGTGCTGCAAAATGACGTCCCCCATTGATGGGCGATCTTTTGCACGTTCATTGCCGTGGCGTGTCGGCATCAAAAATGCAACAAGTTGTAAATTGTTGAGCCGGGATTGCGGGGGGGCGGTGGTTGGTCTGGGCATCGAAGCACTTTTTGGCCCCGGAAAGAAGCTCGATGAGGGCAATTTTTGGGCATGCTTTAGCAGGGAGTAGAATGGGGTTCAGTCGACTGGAAGACACAGGCACAAGAATAAATCGAGTCAGATGTTTCTTTGATAGAGGGAAAGACTAGAGAATAGGTGCAAAATAGCTGTGTCTCTCTCTCTCTCTCTCTCTCCCCTGTCTCCCACGCTCTCTAGCTCTCGCATCCTTTGGCTCGGCCTATCTCTCCTTTTCTCTAACCCTTTCGCTGTTTAGCTCTCTCTCTCTCTCTCTCTCTCTCTCTCTCTCTCTCTCTCTCTCTCTTTCTACTCATTGCACCCTCTATCTCTCGCATTCTCTCACTCACTACTCACTCACTCTGTTTCTACCCGTTGGTCAAGACACGATAAAAACAAATTTATACACGTAACGAATCGATACTAAATGCTCCCCTAATTCCGTAATTTTTTTCAAGGATCCGGCTCGATACCCTCCCGCTTGGCGATGACGTGCACAACCGCGTAGATGGCCACAGCTATGGCTGTGATTCCGCCCATCAATAGCCAGACGAAGCCCTAAATTCAGCGGGTTCGGAGTTGTAGTCTGTATTTTCCGAGATGGGCATTTGGAAACACTTACGATAAGCTGTAAACAAGCCAACTTACCATATACCAATCCACCGTAGCGGTGTAGATGTTCTGAAGGATTGCCGTCTGCGCGATTCCAGCAAGTTTTTGGGCGATCGAGCTTACGGCGAAGGCTTTGCCGATCTGAAATAAAAAGTTAATTAAGAGATCCAGAATTCGTGTTTTTGCTCTGTTTCTGTCTCGCTGTCTCTCTCTCCTCAATCCTCGCTCGCTTAATTCTTAGGGCTTCGGTGTACCCGTAAAGGAGCAGGCAAAGCAGGCTTCTAGACTTTTTTGGCTATGAATTTGCCGTAATGTTCCGTCTCGTAATACGCCACGTGCCTCACTGCGTGTGCGTTGTGCGTACCAATTTACATGTCGCGTTGCATATCGCGCTACATGTCGCGCTACGTGTCGCGATGCGTACCGCGTGATATGTTGCGTTGCGTATCGCGCGATGCGTCTCGTTGCGTGGCATCTCCATAGAAAATCCATGGAAACGCCACGTCCAACAAAATCCATAGCCCAGCGTTGTCTGTCCCTTTAAAAGCCATTTAATCTTCAGATACCTCATGACCTTTTCATCCCGTTTTATCCGGTAAAAAATCCAAATCCTTCCCTTGCTTCCATTTCGATTAGCCGCCCTCAACCCCGAGCTTATCCCCCCTAGATTTTCACCTCGTTCTGCTCAATGAGACAGCTCATGAAGGAGTATGTGAGTGGGTTGAGGAGTCCGTGGAGGGATCCAACCGGCAGCGAGGCGAAAATAACCCATGTCACTGCAATGATGGGTTTATTATGGTTATTTTTGGTATTGTCAGGATTTCTAGGATAGAATGAGATGCATTTTACATCATCCGGCCTCTGGAAAGGTCCAGATTGTTGTGGAAAAATGAAGATTGAAAAAGAGAGAGAAAGACAGAGACAGAGACGGTCTCACTTCGAAAACGCTTCAATGAAAAACAACTCAATTGAGGCCAGCTGGGTGTAGATGAACCGGAAAATATTAGGGATCAGCCGGCTACCTGCGTGTTTTGTAAAAAGCGGAATGACACGACATCACCTTTGAGTTGTGAAAAGATGGAAAGTTGTGTTGGGGTGAGTTGGGATCTTTGGTATAGAATGTTTGGTAGAAATGGCACCAAGGGGCGAATTTTTCCAATTTCCTTTTGATCAAAACTATCGCTGGGTATGATGGAATTTTGGGTAACGGGATTATGGCTAAAATTCAATTTCCGATTTCGATGAATTTCCGCTTTTAAAGTTAAATTTTTTAGAAAATTCCGCTTTAGAGATCCGCAATTTTTACAAGAGAAGTCGTTTTTCAGAAGTGAGCATTTTTTTAGATTTTTGCAAATTTTAGTAGTTCAATGATTTTAAAAATTATAGGGGCGAAAAGGTGTCTGAGACAAGCTAAATTAAACAAGAATTAACTTACTGTGAGCCAATCCAATAGCCACAGCGCAGAGTCCCATACTGGCGATGGCAAAAGTGATGACAAGTGAATCCCGGAGCCGGAAGAGCTTTTTGAAGAGCAGCGTCCCCACGAAGAGACCGATGATTTCTGAAAGGTTCTTTTAGCCTTTTCCATGACTATAATAACGTTTTAATCCTGTAGATCCACAACACATTAATAGCGCAAAAGATGGCCTCGCGCCTGACGCAATTCATACTTCCTAAGTCCTTTAAAAAACACTCACGAACTATCGGCCGCCAAGATTTGTACTGTGCGTAGGTGTGCGTGTCCCAGTTGAAGGGTGATAGTCGAGTGTAGGTTCCGATGAGACCTGAAAATGTAGAGGTACGACCATCTCTCTCTCTCCTTCTCTCTCTCTTTTTTTTTTTTCTCTCCCTCTCTCTCTCTCTTCTCTCTCTCTCACCCTCACCTTTCTCCTCCCCAAAAACGAATTGATCCAGGAAATTGGCCACGAAGCATAGCCACAAGAAAAGTCGACGGTGTCCCTCTCGGGGTCGAAAGAAGATTTTCACGGATTCCCACAAGGAGACGAAGGAGCGCCCGGCTACCTCAATGACGTTTTTCCTGAAAAGGCACAAATTTCAAAATGTATGGTCTTTTAAAGGGACCGGGAAGGCAGGAATTTATAGGCCACGATTTTGATTTCAATTTACGGCCTCTGATCGGGTCAATTGGCTATTTGCCAAAAAAACTATACCTTATGGATTTTGTCTTGTCCTCTTCGCCTATTCTTCCCCGACCCTTTAAAGGGGTTGGCGAGGCACGACTCTGGATCTTCGTTCATGGATTCTCTATAGATTTTTTCTGCTACCGCCACAAAGTCTTTAATGACTATGTATTTTAATTTTTCGTATTTTTTTAGCTAGGTTTTAGAGTAGCGCGAGGTGCGCGTTGCGTGTCGCGGCGCGGAAAGAACCTTAGGAATCCATAGCCAAATTTCCATTTTCATGCCTCGCCTCCATTTAAAGCTCAACTAAGCGTTTTCCAGCTTTACCTAAACGATTTCTTGCCTTCTGTTGCCTTTCTGAAGTATTTTATGGTTGTCATCAGGTAAAAAGCGGCTTGGAGGGCAATTTGGTGACTTACGGGGGCGGCACAATCTCATCAAGACTGGGATTTTCTTCCTGCTGGAGGGGGAGGGCGGCTGGGATACGGTTGTCGATTAGAAACAAGCCGAAGAAAAAGGAGAAGACGAACACTCCTGGAAAGCGGATTACGGTAAGTTGCGAGAAAAACAAATGGGTTAGCTAAGTGAATGTTGCGCTTAAAGATTCTACCCACACCTAATCCTACCCTGGCTCTTTAGTAATATAAAGACAGAGGGGGCAGTGGGCTAAAACATTGGGAAAATGATGGTTATAAAAACAGACGGAGGACAAAACTCGAGGGATCTTGGGAAAATACATGTTAAAGCTCAAACGAGCATGACCAAGTTTGAGTCCGAGAGCTATCAAATATAGCTAGGGAATGAGAGAATACGAAAATATATAGAGCAAGAGAGAACGAATAATTGCAGAGAGAGAGAAAAAGAGAGACAAAGAGCGAGAGAAGAAGAGAGACAAGCGAGCCTGAGAAAATAGAGCATGAGCTAACGCTATATAGAGAACTACCGAGGAAAAATTAAAAAAAAAGGCAAGAAACCTTGGGGGAAAATGTCGAGCGCGAGAAAAATAGAATGGAGAGCTAGAGAAAACCGAAAGATCAAGCACGGAAAGCTGCAAAGCTCGAGTGTGAGAGAGAAGAGAGAGAGAGAGAGAGAGAGAGAGAGAGAGAGAGAGAGAGAGAGAAAACGAGAGAGTAAAAAGACGTACCTTCCACAATAATCAGCATATTAATCTCGGACACAAAATGCAGAAGCCAGTCCGCCAGTTGCGAGCCTCCGAATTGCCCGAGTGAAAAAAGGATCGAGACGACGATCATCCGGACTGAAAGCTAATACGGGCTGTATAATTAGTTTCCGAAGCTGACTAGAAAATATATAAGGTAATTCTTTACTCGAACGACTTGCCGTTTTCTTGTCGGGGAACTGATCAGTGACGTAGGCGTTAATGGCGCTCATCGTCAGGAGGAAGTCACCGAGAAAGCCAGCAAGCGAAGCGGCTGCGAATATCCACTGGAGTGGCCAGTCGGTTTCGGGGTGCCTTAAATTCTCGTTTTGAAGGTTAAATTTGGAGGATTAACCGATTACACCATCTTATTAATCTTTGATTCTTAAGTGGATTTTTAACTCATACCATATCAAGATCCGGAAAGCCGTATCGAGCACGACACTCAAAATCCCGATGAGCATAGGCCATTTTCGGCCGTAGTGATCGCTGTAGCCACCTAATTTGAGGTATTGACGAGAGAAAAGAGAGAGAGGGAGAGAGAGAGAGGGAGAGAAAGAGAGAGAGAGATATCACGACCCTCGACTCACCGTATATCACCCCGATGATACACGCTATCGGCAAATTAACATAATCATAATTCTGATCCCAGAGCACCATCTTCTTGTTGTAGAATGTTTTTTCTTTAGCGCCAGGTGGCAATATATAAGTCCGTTTCATTTTTGCTTCGCTCAGGCTCGGCGTGACGATTCCTCTAAAAAATCCTTCAAATATCGATATAAAAAGCTTAGCTTTAGTTAAAACATATACTTTTTTAACCTGTGATTGTCTAAGGCTTGATTTCACCTAAAAAATTGTGAAAATTGCATACGCGTATTTAAGTGGAATATCGTGAAGCGATAACTTACTTGGAAAAGTTTAGATTTTATATAGCCACAAAAAATTGTGAGAAAATACTTACTTTACAGAATTACAAGCCGCCAGAAAGAATATTAATGGCTCCGTCCGAATATCCCATTCTTTCACCTGTTTCCATCCACGTCTGAGCACGGACATCCTGAAGAAAAAACAAATTCAAGAAAATCTAGGTTAACTTGCATAAAACAATGAAATAACTAAAATTCCAAGGATTAAAAACATGTTTCGGGGCGCAAAATGGCATTCGAGCAGACGGGCAATAAATCTGCGAGTAGCGCCCCGGCAAAAAGATAACAAGGTCGGGCTGAAAGTGCGGAAACGAGGAGCGTCACAGGTTTTTCTTCGATGCGTAGAAAATCAGGTACGCTTTGCGTACTATAATTTCTTTGTCAGGAAATTCCTAAGAGTGGATTGCGGTAAAAAAATTCAAATTTGAAGCACTATTTGGCTTGAGAAATTCAGATCGCAGTGTTTTTGCAGGATTTTTTAATTAAAAAGCAAGCCGAAACATTTCATGAAGCCTACGTTAGACAACGATAAAGGCTTTGCGTACAATAAATATAGATAGAAAATTTTCTAAAACTCAATTGATCTTTGTTAAAACGCATTTTAGACGAAAATTCACACAGCGGGTTTCGGTGAATTTTAAAAATTTAGGTGATTCTAAGATAAATGCTACAGTAGGGCTACGAAAACATGCATAAAAATATAGCTTCAGATGTTAGATCAGAAATGCTCAATTTCAAATTATAGGAAAGTGATAAAAAAGGGAAGCTTGCTTGTTGGGCTCGTAAAAGTACGTAAAGCCACGGAATTAGGCCAAACCTAGCAAAGTCCAAACGTGATAAATTTGAGGAAAAAGATCCTGAAACAAAGCTTGGCGTCAACGAATCAACATTGGGCATCAAAAATGTTCAGGGGTCTTCTTTTCCCGGCCAGGTCGACTCTTTTCCCTTTGTGGGTGTTAATCGGCTGATCGCCATCGATTTTTGGCGAGGGCGCACCTGGTATCAAGATTTCTAGGGATCGAATAGGCATTAATGGAGGTTTTAGCAATTTGTAGTACTTTTTTTACCCAATATGTGGGTAACGGCGCACTAATGACAGTTTCGGGACCTTAGGAAATCGAAAACTTTAAAAAAGTTTTTGTAGATTTTCCGAGAATTTTTTCTAACAATTCCTTTGTATTTTTTGTAGGTTTAACTGCCGGTAATGTGCATAAAGTGCTAATTTTATGCGGTTTTGTTCAAATATGTTATAAAAATTCATTCAGACATTAAAACAATCGAAAAATCATATCAATGACGATCAGAATCATCAAAATTATAAAAAGTTTCCTACGAAGTTCTCTACAGGAAAAATCGATTGATATGTGACGCAAATTGCCAAAAAAAAAATAAATTTTAAATTGCAGCAAAAAAGAGCAAATTGAAAAATTTAAAATTACATTTTAATTGAAGCACTTTCAGGACCCGTCGAAAAAAACAAAGAATAAATGCATCCTCATAGAAAACTGACTTTAAAAACTGAAAATTGGACCAGAAGGGACAAGCGTGTTCAAGAGGTAGCAGTATTAATTAAAAACAGGACGTAAAGAGTTTTAAGTATGACTTTCGTGAAATAATTTGCGTGCAATTTTCGAAAGTAATGTAAAAATTAAGTAAAAGTAACCAGACATCTCCAAAAAGTAGTTTTTTTACAAGCGTCCCATATGGATCGGACGGTCCTCGATCTCGAATTCGGCAGTAGCGGCGTTTTCACCCTTTTGTTTGTGGGAGCCATAGAGGAAGGTTAAGGAGGAGAGGGCACAGATGATGACGACGCTCTAAAATATGTTTTATTAATTTACCATGCTTACAAAACACTTTTAAGGTACCTTATATAAACGATATTCTACCGTTTCGAGAACGCTACATTTCCGACTTTCTAACACCAATAGGGTCTCAAGCAAAATTCGCATATACCTTAGAATTTTTGCTTTTTCGTAACTTACGAAATTACGCTATTTTGTGAGTGGAATACTTTCAGTGGGCTAATTGATAAAATGATGCCAAAAAACTCACGTAAGCCATGTATTTTGCGTAGCCGGATTCACGGACAGCGTCGTAGTCCCAGTGGGTTTCGTCCTAAAAAGAAAAATCGTAAAAATTTGGGTATACAAAGCTATAAAACTATGTACTTTTCATTACATTTACATTACTAATAAAAGGTTACAGGTCATAAAAGTCACCACAATTCGAAACTGTAAAAAACATACCTGTGATTTCGCCACGACAGTAGTATTCCACTCATCAACACTGTTCGATAGTACCTCGATAGCGGCCAAGACGCACATAGCTGCAAAATTAGGTTGATTTTACGTGCCGTTTTATATTAGTGACTTCTTAATACCTTAAGGTAGCACTAGAAATTTGCAACTTACTGCAAACAAAGTACAACGCAGCGGTCAGTCGTTTGTAGGTATAACGATGGTGGTAGAAGGTGTACATGGCCAAGAGGTTGGTGGCGATCAGGAGCACTAGGCCGATGATGCCGATGACAGCTTGAGCTCGGTAGTAATCTAGAAAATCATATTTGCTCGAGTTTATACCAAACATATGTTTTTAAAAGTCATATACCTCAAAAACTTACGCTTCAAGTCCTCATCGGCCAATCGAGTCAGATGAGCGGGAGGGGCAGGGAAGTGGGGGATCCATTCGGCTAAAAACACGGAATATGACCTGAAAGTCCAGAAAATGGTGTTCCAGCTGGTATAAACTTTCGCAAACGAGCAAAACCACTTAGGAATTTAGACAAACGGTAGTCTGTAGACCAGAATTTGACAAGCAAACGGAGATTTTTTAGGAAGTTAGGCGAAAACCAGTCAGCTTAAGATTTCAGTTCGGTGGTGGCTTTCCGGCCCCCTTAAGACTCACTGATCGGTCGGCTGGTGTTCGTCGTCTGTCTCCACTCGCCCCAGACACCAAGTTCGACACGTACGATTTCCCAGTCGATATTTGTAAAGGTAAGGACTTCCCATTTCGGGATGGCCATCGCCGCTATCAGGATGATGACGGCTAGCTGAAAAATAAAGTTATATTTTCAATTTTTTTAGGATTCTTTACAGCAGTTTAGCGATTTTGCAACGTTCTTCTTGTAAAAACTTAGCCTATAAAAAAAATCCTTTTTCAACTTTGACGTTATTTTAAGCATTTTGTAATACGACCCCTGTAAAAACAAAGTTTACCACCCCTCCTTAGAACCCTCATGACCCGTTTTTGCAGCTTTTCCTTCGTATTTCTGCTGCCCGGTTTTGCGGGTGTAAACAGGCGCTATTCGGAGCCTCCCCTAACCGACAACACCTGTTCATTTTGGGGTGATCGGCTGGATCGACAGCCGCTAGTGTGGAGATTAATTTTTGGTCGTTTTTAGTCAGGATCTTTGGAAAAACAAGAGCACATTTTAGGAAACGGAAAAACGCAGTACAAATTTGGTTTTTCATAGATTCGATGCGACTCCAGGTTAATCTCCGATTTTCTGCTTAAATTTTTTGATTCGATTGTGCTTAATCTCATAAAATTAATTCGTTAAAACTGATACTCTAGGAATTATACAAGGGAAACATTCTTTTTACATGATTTTTAGAAACGACTTTTGAGATTTTTGGAAACGAATGGCAAATTTTAGCTACAAACATCAGATTAATTTTCGATTTTGACAACGTCAAAACACCATTATCCCAAGAGAACGGCAGTAATATTTTTGGGTCTTTTAGAAAATTTTTAATTTGCTGAAATACTCACCCAGGCTATTAAGCAACAGGCGAACATCATCCTCCTCCGTCTGAGGACGTCCTCGTAGGACCGCTCGTTGAGCACCTGTAAATAGTATCGTAATATTAAATTGATGGACTTTTTTGGCGTCTATTGATGCTTAATTCTAAACGTTTTAACTTATTAACATTTTAGCGATTCGAACTACGAATGTTCTCAAAATCACCGCTTTGAGATGATAAATTCCGGACGCATCTTTTGCATTTGGGATAGGCTATCGTAATCAAAAATTTATGGGGTTGCACTTGCTTGGGGACAGGGGTGATTTTCTCAGAACTCGGTTGTGCATCAAGCTTCTAGAGAAAAACTGTTTATAACTACTAGGTAGAAAATCGAAAAAAGATCTAAACCCTTAACAAGCCTAAACAAACCCCAAGCCTAAGCCAAGCCCAAGCTCAAGCCAAAGCTTAAGCCCAAAGATGAGAAAAACCTAAACTGAAGCTTATACCGAAGCCAACCCTCCGCAAAGCTTAAGCCAAGCCTGGCGCAAACCTAGGCCTAAGCACCAGCCTAAGCAAAACCAAGTCGAAATCTAAGAGAAACCTAAGCCGGAGCCTAAGCTAGACCCAAGATCGACACAAGTCAGAGCTTAACGAAGTCTAAGTAAAGTCTATGCAAAGCACTAACTAAGCATAAGCCAAAGCAAAAGCTCAAGCCTAAGCCTAAGCCCAAACCTAGGCCCAACATAAGCCCAAGTCTACGCCATGTTTCAAAAATCCAAGGAATACGCTTGGAAAGAAGGTAATGGTCTCAGGAACGGAAACGAATGCCAAAATGAAAACGCTGAGCTTTACTCTTTGAATGGCTGTGCAGGCTTCCCATCGAAACCAAGTGTAAAGCCCTGATGGCCCATATCTCTTCCTCAAATCGGTTAGGGGGCAAAAAACCTGTGAAAGAGGCAGAGGGCACAAAACGGAACACAGACCTTGATGTGGTAGTCCATTGCGGGGGAAGTCTAGCGAGTTTTAGGGCAGAAAATCGAGCAACTGGACGACCGATTTTACGGTCTGATCCTGGTCTTGGCACTTGGGCTCTTGCTCCTGGACCTCGTGCTCAAAATCTCCGCCCAGGGCCACTGGCACTTGTCAATCTTCTCTCGCTGGCGGGAGATCCGAAAATCCGGCCAACTTTTGGGGCTTCGAAAAGAGCAAAAAAAACCCCGATTTTTTCAAATTCCGAAATTATTAACTCAAAAATTCAATTTCTTAGCACTCTATAAAATCGATATCCTACAGTCCTACAGTTAGTAATGTGGCAAATTTGCATAGGATAAATTTGTTGAAAAATACACTGTTGTATCTCGACGTAGGAAGGTCACATCCAAATATGTTGTATATGTTTTGAAAGCCCGGAAAACACCAATAAGCTTATCAAAAAGCTATAACGAAAACTTTTTTAGTCCGGTAAAAAGGCATTTTCGCAGAACATCAGCTCGGTTTTAATCACACAAAAAGCCAAAAAAGATAAAAACCGGCTGTATTCAATTTAAACTATTGAAAACTACTGAATGTAAATTCGGGGTCACCCAAGGAAATGTTTTCTTAAACCCAAGAATTAAATCTGAATTAACGTGCTAATGGTCGTAAATTTTATTTTTTGGGTTTTTAATTTTATACAAAACAACTTGATGATGATATCGAATTATTTTTTCGGTTTGTTTATGTTATCGGGGAGCAATTTTTGCTAGGAGTCCATAGATGCCTAACGCCGGGGATTAAATGTTATAATAGTGATTTCAGTCAAATTTAACTATGTTTAAAGTGGAAAAGCTACACAAACATCATTTCTAGAGGAAAAAGTGCCGACGAATAATTTGATCTCCCCCGACACCCCACCCGGTAACGGATAAGTACCTTTCAAAAGCTGTTTTTCAAATTCTTCAACTACTTACCCTTTCTTCATGGGTTAGCCGCTCCATTCTTCAAAAAAGAGAAGAAGAATATCGGAATAACTAGTTTAATTAAAACTGTAGCCCCAGTGCAAAGGTCGTTATCGGCTTTAACGTGCCCTCAGGCTATATAGCCGGGGCTTTTGGCTGGCCAACGGGAAAATTAGCCCACGGCCCAGCGGGGCCCACCCCCATCCGCTTTTGTTTGGCCGTTATGCTACTCCTCTTCTCTGGTCTCTCCATTCTCTCGTGCTATTTCGGGCTTAATGGATGCCTTCTCACCACAGCAATGGGGTCGGTCTGCACATGTTCATGATCCCCTAGGGCGCTAGGGCAACGGGGGAGGTCAAGTTTTAGAGAACAGGCGAAGGGCGGGGACTTTCGGAACGGCTTGGAAAATAATTTGTATTGCTTGAAAAGCAAGAGAGAGAGAGAGAGAGTGAGAGAGAGAGAGAGAGAGAGAGAGAAAGAGTGAGAGAGAGAGAGGGAGAGAGAGCTCGATAATCCTATACAAAATTCTTCGTCTTTTTCCTTGAGGCAAGCTAGCAGAAACCCTTGGCGAATCCGTGTGTCATTAATGCGAAAATTCTATCTGTTTTTCTACTTTATTTTCACCATTTTCTCCTATTTCTATAGGGTACTTCTACGCTCCAGCCCTTCGATCCAATAATTATCTTAATCTCTTACTAATCTGCTCCCCAGTATGTGCTTATTACTTCCAAGCCATTAATCTGCGGATCCCCCCTCTCTCTCTCTCTCTCTCTCTCTCTCTCTCTCTCGCTTCCAGGTCCAGAAGGCAATCTGGATGATTGCATTCCCACGACCTAAAGTGTTCCCGACACAGCCATGTGCATAGGATAGTATCGGATTTGGTGGGGTGCTAATGGAAGGAATGGAGGGTTGGGGGAGCAGAGTGAAGGGATTAGAGGACGGATATCGGTAAAAAAAAAAAAATGAAAAAAAAATATAAAAAATAAAAAAAAAAAAAAAAGGAAAAAAAAAATTTTAAAAAAAAAAAAAAAAAAAAAAAAAAAGGGGCCATTTTTTAAATAATTTGGGGGGGAAAAAAAAAAAAAAATATAAAAAAAAAAAAAAGGGAAAAAAAAAAAAAAATCCCAACAAAAAAAGAGGGGGGGGGGGGGAAAAGGGGGGGGGGAGGGTCAGAGGCCAAGTTTTCCACGTAAGAACTGCTTCGCGTCACGCAAACTTTGCAGCCCTAATCCATGTTAATGCTGCAGTCCTGTTCGATAGAAGATTGCCCTCCAGGTAGGCAGATGCATATTTATGCATATGACCCGCTATTTTAGGGCCGTTTTGCTCTTCCTGCCCTCGATTCGTAATTCCTGGACAGCTGCGCAGATGTGAAGAAATCTCATTCAACATTCAGTTATTTGCTCACGGCATTTTTGGGCCTTCTCTTTGAAACGTCGATGGCTAGCGCCACCCAATTTTGGCGATTTTTTTCTAGTATATGCTGTTTTTGAAGGGGCTCTTTCAGCAGTGCCATTTTTCATCAAACGTGGAAAGGTTTGGGTTCTTCACTGTTAGCGGGGGGATCCTTAGCAGCGGGAAAAACCCATTTTATGTTTTTCCACCTACCTGTTGATGATATATAATGTATTTTTATCGAGTTCTTAATAGTTTATGGTTGCTAAGAACTTACAAAAATCTATTTAAAAACTCCGAAAACCCGCAATTTTACCTTTTTGGTTCATTTTTCATACATACATATACATATTTGCGGAAATTTTTAAATTAGATGCTGTAAAAGTAGTTTACATGTTGATATGGGGGATTTGGTTGCGCCGTCAAAAATCCTCCCCCACCCACCGCTAACAGTGCAACCCAAATTCTTCCGCGATCCATGCCAAAGGTCCCCTGCTGACTCCCTTAGCCATGCGACTCTCCAACATTGCCCGGTAACTTGTGAAATTTTAGGCGATGGACTTCTGCACACTGCCCGTCGAAGTGCAGCATCATGTCCTACGGAATATGGCGATCGAGGACTTCTTGAAAACAGCTTTCACCAGCCGAACCATGCTCGAGATAGCCACGGATGCTCCCGATAAGAAATGGGAGTTCTGGCTTCAGCGAGAACGGAACGGGGAACGCTATGACTTGCACATACGAGATGGCGACAGAATTGTCCATCGGATCCACATCAAAAACAAGGATAGCCTCAAAGCCGTTGCTCATAACGCCACGATTTCGGTTCTTTATTTAAACCAGCATCCCTTTCCGGAAGGCTTCAATATCCGCTGCAATCGGTTGCACCTTGTGTGGGTAACCGACGACCCACTTCCGCTTTTGAAGCGACACAAGCCGGCTGGAAAATACGCGGAAGTCCGTGTGGTACCGACACCACCCAATCCAGAATTGTTCAGCTGGATCAACGAAAACGTCCATGATTTTACCGGCCGAACAGCCGCACCACATTCCGAATACGCCAAATTGAAGGTAGCCCGGATGCAATTTTTCGCGGACGACTGGGAAAACAGAGACTCTTCGGAGTTTACCGAAATTCTCGCGACCGAATGGCTGCGCGGCGAACGGGAAATCGTCGGAATATACACGCATTACCTGCGTTATGAACAGCCGCCACCTCGATTTCCGGCTATTTTGGAGCAGTTCCCCAAGCGTCAGGTTCGTGCTGACCACGAATATGAAACGTGGTACCGCCTCAAGCGAGCCGATGGAAAGCGATTGATCGTCAGATTTGATCATTTGCGAGGCAGAGAGCAGCTTTGCGTGCCTCGCAAATTGTTAGGCTATATGAATAGCGATTTTGAAGAATTTCTGCGCACTACTGATTAATGTGCAATAAATTGTTTTGTGAACAGAGCTTTCTTCCAAAAATTGTACGCATTCTGAAAAACCTGCAAAAGTAATCTCCTTTCGTCTGTCTGTAGGTCTGACTTGCTCGCTGTGAGGGAAAGAGAGTGAGAGAGCGAGGGAGGGCGAGGGAGAGAGCCGGAGAGAGTGTGTGTGAGAGAGAGAGTGAGTTGTGAGCGAGTGATATGGAGGGGAAGAGATGGACCGTATTTAAAAATATTTTCTTTAAAATGAAAAGAACTTGAAAATTAGGATCTGTAGGAAAGGTCAGAGATATATAGGGAAGATCTCCAGAATTCCACAAAAATAACAATGCAAAGTATTG